GTTCAATTCAAACCAATTTTTACTATAATTTGATTCCATTTTCTTGTTTAAGTGAACCATAAATAGCGCTAACTCCATCCATTTTATAAAAAATATCTTATTTACATTTTTTATCTAACTTAAAATAATTGTCTTTTTACTATATTAATGCAACATTTTTATCAATATATTTTTATTTATTATTTTTCACTATATTATTCAACTATTACTATTCTACTAACTAAAACTAATAAAAATATTATGGTAAATAATATTAATTTTATCATTTAAGTTAACATATCTAATTAAAAATATGCATAGGTATTGGAATCCCATGAATTAGGTGCAAGCTTACAGTACTCCTTCAACTAGTTTAAGGTTATTCACAACTCAAAAGTAAGCTTCTTTAATACAATAGTAGTACTCAGTAATCAATAATTTTCGTCAAAAGAAACTCTTTCCATCTTATCAAGAAATGCTCACATGGAACTAGATTATTCTTTTTCTAAGATAATATAAATTTAATGTTATTATCATTGTCTCAAACAATTTGAACCGTATATTGATAATCTAGAATTTTAATATACAATATTTAAATATGGTTCTCTAAAATTTTATTGATAAGAGTGTCTCAAAGAAAAAATAAAATAAAAGTAATAATTGAAGATATATGAATATCAATCTCACTTTTAATTTTTTAATATATGAAATATTTTTATAAGAAAAATTGTATGTAATCATCTGATATTCAGTTTCAATATGAGAAATTACGTCACAACACGTTTTTAGCAACGTGAAGCTTTATACAACATAATTACGTGTGACAACTTTGTTGTGTCGTGAAAAATCATGTCACAACTTTGTCACGTCAAAATTACGTTGCACAGTTTGTCACGTGATATTCATGACACAACATTCTGCACAGAAATTTCACATTTGCTATTTGTAATTCAGTAGAAGCGGAGTAGGTTATAGTGACTTGCGACATGATTTTCACGTGCCAAAGTTGTGAAGTAAAAATCACGTCACAAAGATTAAAAGAAGTTGCGGCGTGAATTTCACGTGGCAAATTTGTGAAGTGAAAATCACATCACGAAACCGGTTTTTTAAATATAAAAAAGTATAATTATTGTTGTACGTTTTATAATATATATACTAAAATTAATAATAAATTTTTTAAATATAAATAAATATAAAATAATAATATTTTGTTTTGTTTTTTAAATATAAAAAAAATATAAAATTAATAATAAAATTTTTAAATAATAATTTTATAATAAACTAAAATGAAAAATCAATATCTTACAAAAATTCATATTAAAAAGTAAAATTAAATAAATAATGTGGATCAGGATTGGGAAACTCGTCAATGTTAAGATCATCGTCATCCATCAGTTTTTGACCACCAACTTTTTCATTTTCACCAAACACTTGATTACCGATCCCTTGCGATTGTGTAAATTATCACATCATCTCCTCCATATCAGCTTGCCTTTTTGCCATTGCCTTTATTTAAAGTTGTTGCTCCTCTATTTGAGCCCTTAGCGCTGCCTCACGTTGCGCCGCCTCACATCTCGCCTCAGTTAGCGCTAGTTGTCTTACTGTTTCTAGCATTTTGGGTGTCAATTATGGTGGAAGTGACATTTCTTCCCCATCTCTAACTCTTTGAAATAAAGTTCTATCCTCTTTTCTCAAGCTGCCGACCAAAGTTTCAGCAATAAAAAAACATTTATTAGGTCCCTTTCGGCCATTTACTAAACCCCAAATATAAAAACCCACATGTGGATTAAGAGACTCGGAACCTCTCAGAGTATATTGAGGATTTTCAACCAAAAATTGTGCGAGCAATGTCTGATCATTCTTCTACACATGCAATAAAAAAAATTAAGTTAAATATCTCACTTGCCACGTGAAAATCACGCCACAAAGTTGCCATTAAATAAAAAATAAATAAACAATTTAAACAAAATAACTTACCAAAGATTTTTTGGTACGCTCGTCAACAAATTCCCTCGATTTTTTTGTCCGAGTCTTTACAACCAGCTCATTCATTAGTGAAAATCTCCGAAAACTCTTAGCCAAAATAATAAAATTAAATTTAATTAAAAAATATATAATAAATCAAAATATAACTTAGAAAATAATAATAATTACCATCCGTCGAGCATGTTCGGCAATACTTATACTTCCAACTGCATTAAGGTTTCCTCCTTTTTCAGATGCTCTTATTTTTATTTTATTTTTACTTTTTTAGGTCTTTCCTTAAAACAGTTGTATCCCAATAGACAAGAAGTTCGTCAAATACTTCTTTTCCTATCCAGTTGAGACAAATATTTTCTCTTTCTCAACGCTTTCTAGCACGCCGTAGCATGTCAAAAAGTCAAACTGATGTTTTGACATAATAATTTTTTTAACCTCTTCCTCATTCATTTGCTCCCACATACACTTTCCTGCAATGTTGTATGACATTCAAATAAATTTTTAGATAATTATAATGAAAAAGTAATTTAACAACAATAACTTTTCTTGAAAAGATCATACTCTTTGTACCTTCGGTCCATTCGAATCTCAACAATATCATATGTCTTATCTATTTTTGTACATCTAGCAGATGGATCGTACCAGTCACAATAAAACAAGACAACTTTATTTTCCGAGTCCAAGTAATTGTATACCAACTCGTAGATATGTTTAACAAAGCCATAAAAGTTGTCTTCACCACCATCTGTAACTCTTTTTTTACAAATACACCATTGTTTATGTTTTTTTCCCTTCAGTCCACGTCTCAGTGTGAAATTTATATTCGCTCACAAAGTATGTGTGCCATTCATTTGCGCTTTGAATAGGGCCTTCAGACAAGTTTCTCAAATGGAGTATTTCTTGATTCGATGCAACAATGCATGACAATTTCTCCTTAAACCATGCTGGAAAATGAGCATGTATGTGACCAGAGGTTGCTTGTACATCGGTGCTATGAAAATAGGAGGTGTTAAATTCCCTAAAAAGAAACACACTATAATTTTCAAGGTAATGAATTTTATATTCACAATGTAAAGAAAATTACGCAGTTGGGATATACTTACTCAAGATATGGTTTAACTTCAACACAGTTAATCAAGACATGAACATGTGCAAATTGTATTTCTTTTTCGGTCAGCCAATGCACACCCTTCTTTCTAGAGGGATGACCTGGAAGCCCGAAGATTGATAAGGTAAATTGACTTCTTTTGTTAACATTTCCGGGATTCCTTATGATTCTTAGAGTTAACATCAAGTGATTGAAATAGTGACTGCAAAAATGTGATGTTTTCCGATGCAAGTAATGTGCATATATTGATCCTTCAACTTTAACTTTATTTTTCACTGATCGCTTTGAATCATCCATGAACCTTTCAAACGGATACATCCACCTATATTAAATAGGGCCGCCAAGATAAGCTTCATATGCAAGATGCACAGGTAGGTGTTCCATAGAGTCAAAAAACCAGGTGGAAATACTTGTTCCAACTTACAGAGAATGACTGGAATATTTCGGTCCAACTTGATGATGTCATCCACTCTTAATTATGACGCGCAAATATCTCTAAAAATTGACTAATTTCAGTTAGTGGATTAAGCACATGATTGGATAGTGAACCAAACGTAATTAGAAGCAATCGTTCCATAAAAACATGTCAATCATTACTTTTCATACCATGCAACTTCCCAGTGTTAGCGCCGACACACCTTGCTAAATTTGAAGCATAATCATCAAACATTCTCAATTATTTTAACCATCGACAAACCGCTTTGGCTTCTTGGGAAGTTATACTGTAATTGGCCTTGGGTTTTAATAATTTTCCATTCGGTTGAGGCTTCAACTCCAACTTTTTTCAATTACACCAAATTTCCATGTCTTTTCTAGCCTTTGTATTATCTTTTGTTTTGTCTTTAACATCCATCAGTGTGTTAAATAGATTATAAGAAAATCATTTTCAATATACATAACATCAAGATTATGGCACAATAAATTATCTTTCCAATATGAGAGATGCCAAAATATACTTCTTTTTGTCCAATTTCATGTGACCTCATATCCTTGAATTCTACATGTTTTACCAGTATCTGTGAAGTTTGGTAGTTCACAAACATGGTTCTATACTTCACCTGGTGACAATCGAGGTGGAGGCAAATCTGTTACTCATTCTTCTTTTTTGAAATCAGTCTTATTTCTTCTACAAGGATGATTTCTTGGCAGGAATTTATGGTGACAGTCAAACCATGAACTTTTCCCCCCCTTTTTCCAACGTAAACGCCTTGGTGTTTCTCATGCAATGCGGACATTCCATTTTGTCATGGGTACCCCAACACGACAACATGCCATATGCTGGAAATTCGTTAATAGTCCACATCAAAGCAGCTCTCAAAGTAAAGTTTTGTTTACAAGATATATCATAAGTTCATTCTCTAATTCACAACCTCTTCAAATCATCAATTAAAGGTTATAAGTACACATCCATTCCAGCTTTTGAACTCGACGCTCCTAGAATGAGACAGAATCATGTTTGATTTTGTCATGCACATCTCAGGAGGGAGGTTGTAAAGGGTTACAATAACTGACCAACAAGAATACTCGCTTCCCGACGCTTGGACATATGGAGTAAAACCATCAGAGCATAATCCAAACCTAACATTTCTATGTTCTGCAGCAAAATCAAGATGTATCCGATCAAAGTGCTTCCATGCCTCGCCATCAGATGAATGTCACATAGTACCTGAACTTGTTTTGTTTGTATGATGCCATGTCGTTTGACTTGCACTGTGCATTGAAGCAAACATTCTTTTTAACCTTGGTATTATCAGAAGATAAAATATGGACTTCACTGCTACACGTTTTTGCTTACGTTTACTGGCTTTACTGTGAACTTGATATCTCAGACTCTTACAGAACTTACATTTCTCCAACGCTCCATCACTAGTACCGAACTCATTGTTACAAAACAACATGAAACCACTAATGCAACAATCAATCTTTCTTACTTCTAAACCCAACTTCGACACCACTTCTTTGCATCATAAAAACATGTAGGCAAGTTGTCTTTCGTAGGAGTCGCGTCGAACATCATTTTTGCGAAGAATTCCAAACACTGATCAGGAACACTAGAATTTGACTTGGCGACCAATATTATCACACATATTGATAACTTTGAGTTTGACAGCCCCTTAAACAATGGCGTATTCATCTCATTCAACAATTGATAAAATCTTTGTGCTTCCTCATTCGACAACCCTTCCCCATCAAAATCTTCAGGTTCATCATAGGTCATGTTCACACTAAAAGCATCACCCACCATCTCACTGGTCAGATAAAATTTTTTCTCATATTCCATCGGCGATCGACTACTTGAAGCAAGCGTATTACTAGTCTCTGGTACGTTACTCGGCAGTTCTTCTCCATTATACGTCAAAACCCAATAATTTTCAATGAAACTCATTCTCTTTAAATGGCGTTCTACTTTCTCTGGGTCACAAATTATAGGTCCACATTTATATTTAAGACAATAACATCTAACTCCTCCTTCGCTTCGACAACACTCATGAGAAAATGTCCACGTGATAAATCCTTTAACTCCTTCCTCAAAATTTAGTTTAAGTCTGTGTCTTCCTAGATACAACCTATTGTACATCCAACTACAATAATACTGATAATATTTCATACTGCACATTTATATAATCATTTCCCTTTTAATTATAAATGTGATTTTAATATATCAATCAATTTCAGAAATGTTGATAAAATATTAACTACAAGTATTAACTAACTTAATACTATTCTTAAACATAAACATATATTAACTAGAAACTACTTTTCATACAAACAGGTTTTCTCCTATTTTATAATTATTCTTAATATATATAACTATAAATAAATTTCATATTATTTTATTTTTTTATAAACTTATATAATAAGTTCTTTAAGATAAACATAAATAATTTGTTTTTATTTTAACTAAACATTTAATAAACATATAATAGTTTATATTTTTAATAAATAACTATTATGTTCTATTTTAAATATATATATATATATATATATATATATATATATATATATATATATATATATATATATATATATATATATATATATATATATATATATATATATATATATATATATATATATATATATATATATATATATATATATATATATATATATATATATATATATATATATATATATATATATATATATATATATATAAAACATAAAATATAATACATATAATTACTAATCATATATTCTTTCTTTTTTTGAAAAAAAATTATGTTTAAAAAAAACTATTTCACACCATTTTGTTTTTAATAAACATATTCTTTTAATATACATAAAATACAACTATATTCTAATTTATTTTGTTTTAAATATATATATATATATATATATATATATATATATATATATATATATATATATATATATATATATATATATATATATATATATATATATATATATATATATATATATATATATATATATATATATATATATATATATATATATATATATATATATTATATTTTTAATAAATATTTTGTTTAAAAATTTTATTATTATGTTAATAAAATATATGTGTGTGTATGTGTGTGTTCAGTTTTTGATTATATATCATAAGAATAAAAATCAAAATATAATATATTTTGCTTTTATTTAAAATGAAAAATATAACATCAAATAAAATATCATTTTTTTATAAATAAAACAAAAAATAAAAATAAACATATTCTATTTAAATAAATGTATATATTTTATTTGAATAATGTATCATGAAAAATAATATTCTGTTTAAATATATTATGAAAAATAATATATCATGGAAAATAATATAATGAAAAATAATATGTTTTAATAATATATTATGAAAAATAATATTCTATTTTGAAAAAAATAATATATAAACAGAATCATATATTATGAAAAATAATATTCTCTTTAAAAGAAAACAATTCTGTTTAAATATATTAATAAATTAATTTTGGATTAACTATATATTTATTTAAATAAAATTTTTTTTTAAATCATCCTACATAATAAATTTATAATAACAACAACCAAAAATTCAATATATTTAAATCAGAAAAAAAAACTTGCTTAAATACGTCAATGAAAAAAAAATTGAGTCTTGAATCTTGATGTATATTGATGAACCTTGAAGAAAAAATTAACCATGTTAGTTATAAAAAAAAAATCAACAATATCTATAACAAATAAAAAACAAAAAATTAAAAATTAAACTACAATGCCTTTGAGGAAGAAAATATTGGAGGAAGAAATTAATAATAATAGACATAAAATTTGAAGATGAAAAATATTGGAGGAAAGAAATTGAGAGAGGAAGGAAAAAGATGAAACTAATATGTCTTGGCGTGAGAGAGGGAAAATTGAGAATTATATAGACACCTCAGCGATTGTGAATTTCACGTCGCAACCTTGTAAAATGAAATTTACGTCGCAAATCTCCAACGATCATAATTTTGCAAAAACATGACACTAATAAATGTGTCAAATCACCCATCAACTCCTTATCAATCAATTCCCTCCTAAATGTTTTTTTTTATTTTTATTTTAAAATTTAATGTTGCGATGTGATTTTCACATCACAAATTAATTTTTAAAAATTTCAAATCTATCCCATCTGTCAACCTGTGCACGCCTGACTTCTTTTATTTTTTAATCTTTTCTTTTTAAGTTGCGATGTGATTTCTATGCCATAACATTTTTTTTAAAAAAAATTTCTTCCTTTTTTATGTGTAAGCTTGACTTTCAATTTTTTAATAATAAAAACATGTAGCAATGTGATAATCACATCGCAACTCCCTTTTTTTGTCACCTGATTTTCAGGTCATTATATCACGTGGCTGGGGAGATGTTTTTTGTAGTGTATTTAACCTGACTTCTTTTATTTTTTAATCTTTTTTTTTAAGTTGCGATGTGATTTCTATGTCATAACATTTTTTTTAAAGAAATTTCTTCCTTTTTTATGTGTAAGCCTGACTTTTAATTTTTTAATAATAAAAACATGTAACGACGTGATAATCACATCGCAACTCCCTTTTTTTGCTACCTGATTTTCAGATCACTATATCACGTGGCTAGGGAGATGTTTTTTGCAGTGTATTTAACGTGTAACATTCAATCTTCTATTGTTTTATCTTATTTATTAACCAAGTGACTCAAAAAAAATATTGGAGGTGGATATTGATATAAAATTTTCCTAAAGCTTAAAGATTTAAAATAGAATTTATTTAGTTATTTTTAAAAAGATGGTAGTAGAAGATGACAAATAAACAAATAGGATAAAAGAAAGAGATAATGGATAAAGAAGAAATAAACTATTTATTTTAGTTTGGCCCAAAACTATAAAGTCTATGTTCAATCCCCAAGGATGGCACAATAAAAATTTTCTACTACCAATTGAGATTTAACACAGGTTCAACTCATAGCTTTTATACCAAATTCGTATCGAGAGTTCAGTTTACAACCTTTTACACCATACTTTTATCACACGTTCAATTTGTAACCCTTATATTTTTTAAGTTCAAGAGAACAATATTCTCTTACTTTTACAATACAAATTAGAATTACAATAGTAGTTACACAAGTTACTAAATAGTTCTCTCCAATGAAAGATGATTATGACAAGATCATCCTAGTGGATGAATCTGAACACTCATATGGGGATGCCAAATCAGCGGTCTGATGATATGAGTGACCTCAAGAAGGTGAAGGTGCCACCAATGGATATATAACTGATAGTCTCTCTTAAATTAAATACAAACCTTTTCAATTTTCTCTCTCAATTATACAAAGAGAGCAGGAGAATAAGATAAGATTTTCTTTTCTAGATTTTGTGTGTGTTCTCAAATGACCACAAGATCTCCTTATATTGTAGTGAACTAATTAAGATTCACAAAAAAAAAAACTTTAGAAAATGCCCAGAATTAGTCCATAATCGATCATGGTAAGCCTATAATCAATTATGCTTAGGTAGTTTCATAAAGTTTCACTCATATTTGATCCATAAATGATTAAGCTTAGTGCATAATCGATTAAAACGACTTGGTCAACAAGTGGTATTAGAGTCTCACTCTTCGTTACAATATAATAGTTTCAAGGGGAAGAATGACTTCAAACAATTCTTTAAATTAAGACATTCCATAAACAAACTTCTATTTTTTAATGGTGAAAGACATGACTCTTGGAAAATGAGAATGACAAATCATTTTATTTTGTTGGCATCAAAGACATGTGTAGGCAACTTTAAGGATCAAAGCTTTGCAACGACATCGAGGCTCGCAGATTTGTTGTTCACATCAACTTATACTTCGCCATCAAATATAAATTTTCTTTACTTCGACCTAAGATCATAAGGAATAGGGGCGGCGTATTTATGTTCGTGCAAAACTATTTTCTAGGCAGATCTTGAACAATTCTGTTGCAACCTAACTTGACTTGACTTGTAGAGATCCAAGTTTTCCTTTTTTGGTAGAGTTTACACGTCATCATAAAGTATCATGGATATGTAGGGCATGCTTAAACATCTTTGTGGAAGATGGAAAAAGAAGTAGTTATAGGTCCACTACTATAAAATATATCTTTCGTAACACCAATTTTACAACGACCATAGTGTTAACTGTGGTAATAGTTTATTTCTGGGCGTTTTTTTTAATATTTACTAGAGGACGAATCACAACGGTCAAATGAAGCAACCGTCATGAAAAGGTACACAGAGTGAGGTTCAAATCCCAACACCAATAACTAGCCATTTATCATGATAAAAATGTTATTGACCTTGTATATTACCATGTTTTTTATTATCAACTGTGATGAAAGGTGATACTTTATTTATATGTAAGCGAAATTATCTATCACTTCAGTACATAACAGTCGTCCCTCTCAAAACAAAACTCTAGCAACTCTTTCACTCGTCTTTCTTAAAACAAAACCCTAACAACTCTCTCACTCGTCTCTCTCATATGGAAACCCCAAAACGAAACCATAACAACAAATCTTAGCCAATGGGTGCTTACAGGTTCGTTTTCTCTATAGTTTTTTTTCCAAACTTTATTTCAATAGCTTGTTTCATTATGTTTGAACTTCATTCTTGTTTTGACTTGTAGGTATGGATACTTTTTTCAATGAAGAGGACGAAGATAAATTTAGCCTTACAAACTTGTGTCAAAGATTCAGAATGACATCCATTCAAAACATACACAAGTTTGCAAGTCTAAGTTTATATTCATCCTTATTTCATTGACAACACGCCATCATGGGACATGTATGGTATGTTTCTGAAGTATTTTATGACTTGATATGTTTGTTGTATCGTGTTTATTGTTTATGGTTTATTGTTGATGAATGTTTTTGATGAATGTTATTGTTAATGATTGTTTAAAAGATGACTTTATTATATATTATGTGGTTTGAGTGATTTTCCAATCCCTTACCAAATATATAAATTTCTAAACTGTTAATTGACAAGAATGTTTCACACTGTTAATTGCATGTTATTCCTTGACATTTAGAACTTGATTTAATGATTGTAGATCTTCAACCACCCCTTTTTCCACCTCTAATTTTGTTTTCAAAGTAAATAACATTTTTCAAAAATGATTGAGG